AAGGATTTATTGTACTGTATACGACTATACGTTTTCTGGATGACGTTCAGTTGATTAGTCTTTAGAAAAGAGCGGAAATAAAGTTAGGGACAATGTTTGTAACTAGAAGAGATTCGATTGAAGAGTGGCCGGTGATAACTGTGTCAAATCTATTTTCCGGATTTTTCAGCTGTGGTCTGTAGGTTTTTATGTACGATGTTTCGTCTACTACTGCAGAAGATATCATCAATGGCGATGAGATAAAAGTCGAAGTGCTCGATTTGTTCTCAACGCGGAAACAAAAACGGTCCGCGTTCATGCTACCTTGGGGTTGAGTACCCTGAGAATCTTCTCCACACGCGAACTAAGTGTGTGTGTGTGTATATGTGAGAAAATGTGTGTTAGTAATCTGTTTTTGAAATTTTTATACTTACCGGAGCCGCCTGACAGCTACTCTCGGGGGTGATCGTTGGTTCCACTTCGTGGGCCTTATGTGTTTATCCCTTTCGCGAAATCTGCCGTCTATCCTGTTGAGCGCGTATGTTTGTATTCTTTCGAATACGTTTTCAGCATGTTTTTTCATGTATGTGTCTACATAGTGGATGTTAAGGTTCACGTCCTGGTAGATGTATCTGTTAGGCATAGATTTTGGAGAGTTTACGACATCTCGTAAACAAGCGTCTTTGAACGTCTGGATACTACGTCTGTATGTCGCTAAGCATTGGTCCGAGGCAGTGGAGGCATACAGAATAATGGGTATCAGGACGGTCTTAGTTATAGGCACTTTTAGTAGAAAAAACATGTTACTCTTGCGCCCAATAATGGGATTGAGGTTTTGTCTGACGGCTTTCGCCAGCCCTATCCTCTGCCGTATGTGGAATCTTTACGTTAGTCTCCTGTCGATGTATCTTGCTTCGTTAATTCACTGAATTTCTTTTCCGCTGAAGATGACGTTTCCCTTCAGGTGTATCAGTTTCGGGGTGAACAGTATCGCCTGACTCATGTCAGGGTTACTGATTTTCCATATATTGGCCCATTCTTCTAATCTATCAGCTTGCTGTTGTACTACAATGCTGGCATTTGTCTCCAATTTTATATTATCATAGGCAGGTAGCGCTTCTTTTCCCTTAACTGGATACAATTATAGCTTGTCAAAACTAGGAAGAGACTTGAGAATTCTATCTCTCTTCCTCTCTCACCGTTTTCTAACGAACGCAGATCTAGAGGGCTAGACGATATTAAAATTCAGAAAGGTTTTCCTACATTTGACAGGATGGACCTTGTTTGTGTACAATTATTGAGGGCAGGTAGTCAAGTAAAATTACTATTCACTTTCTCTTCCTTCCTATTACAAGTATTTCTGTGTTTTCAAATCTCTATTGCCTCTCTCTATATTCGTAGATATTAATTTTGAGTTTTATCGGCTGTTTGTCTATTTTCGAATGAGATAATTTGAATGCTTTCTCTGAGAGCATGTTCAGTTACAGCTTGTCCAAGGCGACAATTTCTCTGGCGTTTAGAGAGACCTATACTTCTTTTCCTGGTTCTAATGTAGACCGACCTGCAGCTACAAGGAATCCATTGAACCCCGAATATTGGGGTACTTAGCTGACCTTAGACTTTCTCTGAGAGTTTTCGTTGGCCTAAATATCGGTTCCAATCTGGTATGTGAAATTTTTAACATTGGGTAGAAAGGCTTTTTTCTACTGCAGCCGTTCATAGGAAAAACATAATCATTCATTGAAGACTAGTGACAGTTCGTTTGAAAGACTTGAACATGGTCTCCTTGTACGCGATGGTTCCGATCAAGGACGCAAATCGGATAATGGGTGAAGTATTCCAAGCAGATATAACCGCACTCTTTGCTCATTGTTCATCATCAACCCAGTTTCAGTTGAATGCTGTTTCTTTAAAGAACAAACGGATAATATTGCAATGGACAGTCCATCAAGTTCAGTGGTGGCGTTGTAACCATATTGTTAGCATCTTTTGTTGATTTTCGTGGTATGACAAGATGAAGAGGAGACACTGAACGATTTTCTATCAAATCTGAACTCTCTTAACCTAAAAATCCATTCCATAATAAAACGAGAAACCCAAGGGACTCGTGGTGCTGGTTCCTTTTCAGTGGAAGAGCTTCATGTTGCAAGAGCCGAATCGATCCCTCTACGAAACCCTCCATCACTTGGAAGGATCGATTGCAGCTTGAGAAAAGGTTCTTGTGCAGATTCTGTGGTACATTTTTCGTTGGCCTAAATATCGGTTCCAATCTGGTATGTAAAATTTTTAACATTGGGTAGAAAGGCTTTTTTCTACTGCAGCCGTTCATAGGAAAATCATAATCATTCATTGAAGACTCGTGACAGTTCATTTGAAAGACTTGAACGTGGTCTCCTTGTACGCGATGGTTCCGATCAAGGACGCAAATCGGATAATGGGTGAAGTATTCCGAGCAGATATAACCGCACTCTTTGCTCATTGTTCATCATCAACTCAGTTTCAGTTGAATGCTGTTTTCTAAAGAACAAACGGATGATATTGCAATGGATAGTCCATCAAGTTCGGTGATGGCGTTGAAAATTTCGGAAAACGGGACTTCGATCAAGCGGCCGTGTAACCATATTGTTAGCATCGTTTTGTTGATTTTCGTGGTATGACAAGATGAAGAGGAGACACTTAACGATTTTCTATCAGATCTGAACTCTCTTAACCCAAAAATCCATTTCATAATGAAACGAGAAACCCAAGGGACTCGTGGTGCTGGTTCCTTTTCAGTGGAAGAGCTTCATGGAGCAAGAGCCGAATCGATCCCTCTACGAAACCCTCCATCACTTGGAAGGATCGATTGCAGCTTGAGAAAAGGTTCTTGTGCAGATTCTGTGGAACATGTTCCTTCTTACGAATCAGTAGAGAGTTATCCTGAAAATCTTGAGAAGAAAATTGGATTAGATGATTTAGGAAACACTTGCTACATGAATAGCATTTTACAAGTGTTGTTCATGACGGAGAATTTCAAGAACAAGATTTTATTGATGAACGAGAACGAGAATGTTTCCTACCTATTCACCAAACTCAAGCACCTGTTTATGTAGCTGTAGTTTCATAAGAATGTGTCATCATTCCCTCCAACCGACTCCCTGGAGTCTTTGAAGTCCACTAGATACTCGTCAGGACAACAAGACGATTGTTCTGAATTATTGGAGTTCTTGTTGAATACCCTCCGTGAGCAAAACAATAGCAGAATAAATACTCCTGACCACTCTGAATTGATGATTTTGTACAGTCTATCTCGTATTGTGTTTGTAAATCTTTTCCTGGAAAAATCCCCACTTGTGAACTTTGTAGTAAATGTTCAAGAGGTAGCAAAAACGTATGTGAACTTCTGGAAGTCCATCTAGCGTTTCCTAATCTGACCAGTCCGTGCAAAGCTTATTGTTGAATGGAACTTTCAACATGTGATTATCGACTGTATTGCAAAACATGCTACAAACTATTATAAGAAAACAAGTATAACTGAGGCACCAGTCAATCTAATAATAACACTGATGATCTTCAAACATGACTCAACCTTTGAAGGAAGCACCAAACTTTTACGAAGGTTTGAAATAGATGAACACTTCAATTTAGCAGATCACTATTAAAATCTTCATGCAGTCATTGTTCACTATGGTTCTGACGTTGAATCTGGTTATTATTACGCCTTGGTCAAAGACGAAACGGACTGGTTTAAGTTTGACGATAGTCGTGTCATTAAGTGTTCTGGCGATGCAGTGAATTTAGTGGAGCCTCTGGAGACACCCTACATTTTGTTTTATGAGAGAGAGGATATTGGCAGATCAAGATCTTCAGATTATGTAGTGCTGCAGGTTTTTCCGGGTTTTCTTGCAGCTGAAAAAGCGAATGCGCCACTGGAATCAATTAATTTTTGTTGTTATTTCATAATTTTATGATTTGTATTTTAGAATTGTTAAAAGTTGTGTATTTTCAATGAAAAAAGGGACATTAGCCTTCTTGGATGTTCTTGAGGACAGTCAGATTACAACTACACACAGATAGGTACCTACATAGAAACTCTAACCACCCGTCCCAACAGAAAGAGGGGGTTGTTCAAACGATGGTTGAGAGTGCACGGTGCATCTGTGAACCTAAGAGTCTATGTGAGGAACTCAATGATCTAAAAATGCTTTGAAAGGGAATGTCATCAGCGAAGTAGAATTTGAGCCGGACCTACGAACCACGAGAGAGAACGCCCGAGTAACCCCATCTAGGTCCGTTAAGGAAAAAGCTTACCTTTCCTAAGTTAAAAATATTACCAAACGGATTGGGAGAATTTCAGAGGAACACGACGTGAAGTCAGTATTCAGGCCAACGAAAACCTTAGAGAACCTTCAGCAACATCCTGGGTATGGCGGATTCCTTGTGACAAGTCTATTGAATCCAATTGGGAGACAAAAAGCCAAGCTCAACTATGGTGTAATAAATCAGAGAAAAGTTTCAGCATTGTTGTTACTGTGTTGAGAATTCAAAAACCACTCAAACGATTCCAAAAAGTTTTCACCAAATTCAACTTTCACAGAAATGTAAAAATCCTTGCAAAAATTGCGTTGAAGAGATGCAGCAGTGACTTCTTGATGCAGCACCGCCGCCCAGCTCCATGCAAAGTAGGCGTTACCGTAGTGCTGGAAAGGTTAGGTTAAGGTTAGGTCCAGAATGTGTAAGTTTATTCGACTTCACACTACAAACTGCAAGAGTTTATTGTAGTTCAAACCTACAAATAAATTCAGCTTCTTGGAAAATTTCATTTATAGTGTTTTCAAATACTTCATGCTCACTGTATGTAACGGTAATCTTCCATTTGATGCCTTTGGAATGTGATTCACAGCAAAAAAGCATAGCAACCGCCTTAACGTTTCTCAAGTGGAAGTTACTGCTCCAACACCACATTAAAATAATGACAGGGCTTTGTCGGCAACCAGGTTTTATGACAGAGCTAGCTGTCAAACGGAATGAAAATATGAGAATTGTATTTATGATAGTCTATATTATATCACTTCAAATTTATGACATTGAATAATGCAATGGTTATTCAGTTTGTAGACGGGCGCAGAAATCCTCATGACAACGGCTTTAATTTCGGTTTTCTTCGGTACTGGAAAATATCACGATAATATAGCCTTTTCTCCACTGTAATTATCATTACCTTCGCCTGAAAATGTTGCAGATGATTCTGTAATGAGATCCCAGGGATATTATCGTTCGTAAGGAGGAATTTGATCTTCAAAGGTTGGTTTTCAAAATTCGCACAAATTTTCTTCGAAGTAATTAACGGTGGCCATGAATTGGATTTCGATTCACGATGAAAATCGGAACTAACCACTGATTTTCTGTGGGCTGCCGTTTCTTCCTTTGGGAGCCTTCGATGATATTCTAGTTTTAAAAAAGTCATGATAGATATCATTTGTCATTACTAACATGTGTATGGCAACATGAAAATTTGGGGATGTATTTGTCAATATAGAGTACGGACGTAATAATCTCAACTTTTAAGCGAGTGGACTGTGATTATTTTGTTGGTTGAAGATGACACAGTAAGATTGTTTTTTGGGGTAGCAACACCATGATATCATATACAGTTTGTCAAATCTAGGAAGAGACTTGTAACATATAACCACCTACGTACACAACTGACAGAAGACGTATTAGGATAGCAAAGGATGAAATCCACCGCACGATCTGGTGCGGTAGATTTAGAATGGCCTGGGAGTATAGTCCTCGCCGCAAGCAGCAATAAGGATTGATGGTTTTTTAATTGATGGTAAATTATCAGTTAATTATGATGATGCGGNTTCCCCATTGTGTATTGTCCTCACCTCGGATTCTCGTTAATTTTCCGAGGAAACTTCAGGAGTTGTGTATTTTAATATGCGAGTTCAACAAATAGTTTTCCCAATTGAATTAGATTACTTTGAGTTCGGTGTAAACGCCAAACCGATTTATTTGAGCGAGTTTGAAAAACTTTTAACGGCAGTTCTAAACATCCGAAAAGGGCTGTAGCGGTATTCATTTTTCGCGTTTGTCTACTATGATGGAGATTCCTTGAATGCATTTCATCATTACCGAAGGTACCATTGATGTTATTCGAAACTTACTAATGAAAATAATAATTTTCTGAAGGTGGTGAAAGAGTTCACGCATGCTTTTGGTATGAAACTTGGAATAGACAAATGTGCAACGGTCCATCCCAAAACAAAACAACTATGGAGAGGATGGTAGCATCCTGCACCATCTGGATGCCGGAGAGATGTATACGCACCTCGGGGTGGAACAACGCCACACCCAATTGGTAACAGCGGTGAAGAACTCTTTCAGCGGCAAGTATCAGTACAAACTCTGATAAATCTGGTCATCGAAACTATTGTAAAAGAACCAATTTGCTGCAACAAATATGCTCACCATCTCAATCTTACTCTACTCGTCTGCAGGAGAAGCTGTATCAACTAGACGTAGAGACCCGAAAATTGATGCATCTCCATAGAAATTTGCATCCCAAATCTTTCTATCCACAGTTGTTCTTCGTCTGACAACAGGGAGGCGGTGAACTTTTGAGTTTAGATTATCTACATAACGGAATGGTTCTGGATGGAACCTGTAAAGTCGCCAGGAGTTCAGATCCCCTCCTCTGCATGATCCGCGACCATGGGAGAGCACAAGCTGGATCATTTTCCTTTAGGGCAGCTGGCGAACTGTCACCGAGTTGGAACCCATTCAGCAAAAAGCCCCATTGAAATCGCAGAGATCACATCACTCCTGCAGCAACACAGAAATAAGCTAATGCACATTGAAGACCCTGGCTTCATGAAGCTTCTGACCTTCGCTTTCCTCAGGTTAAGTGACCTGGAGTCGGAAACTGAGGGGTTTATCATGACCTGCCAGGATGGTGTCTTCAACACCTCACCATAATGCAATCGCGTGATGAGTAGAGGTTCCTGACATAAAATGCATGGTTTGCCGAGAGGGTTCAAGACTCCAATGCACTTGCTGTCAGCATGTCCAGCATATGCGGCGAAATAACGCCACCCTAAGAGTGCTTCGTTACCACCTAAGGCATTTCACGGTATTGACGAGACACCGGTGTTGCCCAACGCTCCGATGAAAATCAAATCCGATGTGGAGAATGCCAAATTTATTGGAACTATCTTTCCCCAATCCCAGGGTCACACAGCTAATGAGCCTGATGTAGTCCTTTCGACCACGAGAGCAAGATGATACTACTCATCGAGTGTTCAGCTCCTGGCGAGACCAATATCGTCCGAAAAAAGGAGGAAAAACGGATAACATATCGAGATTTTTTCTTCGAACTCTGCAGACTCTATTCTGACCACTCTATTAAGATGGTTGTTCTGATTATTGGAGCCCTTGGTGGAATCTCAAGTAATACCGGCTCGCCGCACTTAGGCAGGAATTCCAGTCAAACAAATGCAGAAGACTGTCGTTATCATCTCACTGCGCTTCTCTTGGCACATGATTTATGAACCCAATGATCATTCTATTGCGAAAGAGCAAGTTCTTTTGGAGCATGGAGTTCTTCGAAACGTTCAGCATGTTCGCAAGGTTTTTTACACTTCCCTTGAGAAAACGAAGTGAAGAATTTGTCAATGAATTTGAAATTGAACTCTACGTTTTTATTTTGTTTCAGTGATGCCCAATACTAATTCTATTGGGTCCATGATTTTCCATAATCCCATCAATTTCATACAACTTGAATCGTGGTTTATGGATTTTGATAATGAATTAGGGATCAATTTCCAGCATATCATTCGTGAAATGAATGTTTCGTCGTCTCAACCATTCTCCCTATCCCATCTTCCCTCGAAGACTCATAAGGGTACTTTTTAAACTGAAAATTGTGGTATGGGGCATTGTCTATAACCAAAATGATTTTTTTCTGGAAGACTGGAAATTAACATTGCTTGCAACCACTCTTTGTAATTATCGCTATTGATTTCGCTATGATAATTGCCTGATTTTGTGTTGATTTGAATTTTCTATATGAGTTTTTCACAATTCCATTTTCTCCTCCTGCATTCACAATTATAAGTCACTGTTGCCCTTTCAAAAGTGTTGTGAGCAACTCTTCATTCAAGTCATAATTCCATCCTCCTTATGTGTATGTAAAGCATGGATATATGTTTCTTCCATTTAAATCATGGTTCGACCTTCTTCACGGCATTTCTTCATGTCTCTGCTGAATGTCGCAACTGTTGAATCACCATTTGTGATAGTTCAGTCTCCATCAGGGTCCTCAAATCCCCGTTCTGGATTATTGTAGGTCAACCACTTCAGGGCCCATCCTTGAGGCTAACATTTCCTCAACGAAATTTTGCAAACCAACATCGAACAGTTCTTTCAACATCATCATCATCGCCAAATGCCTGATTGACTGTTTAGGCTGTTTCAACAGCGGTTTGGCCGAAAACTGCCCAACGACATCATATGCTGGAAAGAAGCAAAAAATTGAAACCTTGTTTGCTGTCAGAAAATTGACTTTTCGCAGGACATAAATTTCAAGGGAATAATTCCAACAAAAAAACTCAACCATCTGTACAATAATGGGAGAAAGAAATAATATAGAAAACTAGCATTGAATTCAATGTCAAAAGTTTTCCACTCAAAAATAACGATTCTGCAGAAACTTCAGAAGGATACAAATATTTCCACCGGATGCTCTTTCTTCCAATTCAGTCTCATTACAATTTTCCCCATTGTGTATTGTCCTCACCTCGGATTCTCGTTAATTTTCCGAGGAAACTTCAGGAGTTGTGTATTTTAATATGCGAGTTCAACAAATAGTTTTCCCAATTGAATTAGATTACTTTGAGTTCGGTGTAAACGCCAAATCGATTTATTTGAGCGAGTTTGAAAAACTTTTAACAGCAGTTCTAAACATCCGAGATGGGCTGTAGCGGTATTCATTTTTCGCGTTTGTCTACTATGATGGAGATTCCTTGAATGCATTTCATCATTACCGAAGGTACCATTGATGTTATTCGAGACTTACTAATGAAAATAATAATTTTCTGAAGGTGGTGAAAGAGTTCACGCATGCTTTTGGTGTGAAACTTGGGATAGACAAATGTGCAATGGTCCATCCCAAAACAAAACGACTATGGAGAGGATGGTGGCATCCTCTCTCTCAGCGGCAAGTATCAGCACAAACTCTGATAAATCTGGTCATCGAAACTATTGGAAAAGAACCAATTTGCTGCAACAAATATGCTCACCATCTCAATCTTACTCTACTCGTCTGCAGGAGAAGCTGTATCAACTAGACGTAAAGACCCGAAAATTGATACATCTCCATAGAAATTTGCATCCCAAATCTTTCTCTCCACAGTTGTTCTTCGTCTGACAACAGGGAGGCGGTGAACTTTTGCGTTTAGATTATCTGCATAACGGAATGGTTCTGGATGGAACCTGTAAAGTCGCCAGGAGTTCAGATCCCCTCCTCTGCATGATGCGCGACCATGGGAGAGCACAAGCTGGATCATTTTCCTTTAGGGCAGCTGGCGAACTGTCACCGAGTTGGAACCCATTCAGCAAAACGCCCCATTAAAATCGCAGAGATCACATCAACTCCTGCAGCAACACAGAAATAAGCTAATGCACATTGAAGACCCTGGCTTCATGAAGCTTCTGACCTTCGCTTTCCTCAGGTTAAGTGACCTGGAGTCGGAAACGGAGGGGTTTATCATGACCTGCCAGGATGGTGTCTTCAACACCTCACTATAACGCAATCGCGTGATGAGTAGAGGTTCCTGACATAAAATGCATGGCTTGCCGAGAGGGTTCAAGACTCCAATGCACTTGCTGTCAGCATCTCCAGCATATGCGGCGAAATAACGCCACCCTAAGAGTACTTCGTTACCACCTAAGGCATTTCACGGTTTTGACGAGACACCGGTGTTGCCCAACGCTCCGATGGAAATCAAATCCGATGTGGAGAATGCCAAATTTATTGAAACTATTTTTCCCCAACCCCAGGGTCATACAGCTAATGAGCCTGATGTAGTCCTTTCGACCACGAGAGCAAGATGATACTACTCATCGAGTGTTCAGCTCCTGGCGAGACCAATATCGTCCGAAAAAAGGAGGAAAAACTGATAACATATCGAGATTTTCTCTTCGAACTCTGCAGACTCTATTCTGACCACTCTATTAAGATGGTTGTTCTGATTATTGGAGCCCTTGGTGGAATCTCAAGTAATACCGGCTCGTTGCACTTAGGCAGGAATTCCAGTCAGACAAATGCAGAAGACTGTCGTTATCATCTCACTGCGCTTCTCTTGGCACATGATTTATGAACCCAATGATCACTCACCTCACGGTGTGGGGAGTGGTCGTTAGTTGAATGTATTGTTGTGGAATTGGCCGCGGTGGTAGTGCGCCCGTCTCACGATCGGAAGGTCGTGGGTTCGATTTCTACCTCGACCAGATATTTTTCTCGATAGAATTTATCTGGTTGAAGCTGGGATGATTCTGCAACCGTATTAGGAATAACACGTTGAAAGGTAAGACCTCACGACCACGAATGAAT